ACACACACACACACACACCCTAATTACCTAATAGTTATTGACTGTTACAATTTTCTATGTGTCATGTTGATATGTTACATAGAGTTCTGATACAATTGGTTCAAGAAATTCCATTTTTAATCTTAAAGGACTTGGAAGTTTAATGTGAACATAAAGTATAACACATAGCTCTATAATTGTGATTTGTGCAAATTTTTACGAAGAATAAGATTCAGCTAAGGAAAATAACTGGAGACAAATAATTTAGATTAGAAGCAAGTATAAAAATTACACCTGAAAAAATGTCAAGTACATTTAGAATTGAAAGATTAGTAGAAGGTAGCCAGCATCAGAGTAAAGGAAGAGTGTATCTGTGGTTCAACTAATCTTTCAGATAGCACTACTTCTAGGAAAGTCTTTGTGAAGTCCTAAGTGGTTTGTGAAGTCCTAAGAGGTTTAAGCTCTTGCTCTGTGCTCCTCCTGAGAGCCTTTCATCTCTTCTTACCAGAACTGGTTCTTCTAGCTGGTCATAAAAGAATAATTGTAATATATTCTTGCCTGAAGCTGCCACACTGTGCAGTCTGAGAGAAACCAATTAGTAATGGTAAGAATATGTATTCTTACTAAGAAGACCATCTCATTCTGAGAATCATAAATTTGCATATAAGAACAGGATGTTCATAGGTTCTGGGTAACAATAGATTTATTTTCCCCAAACACACCTTCTCTTAAACATTCCAAACTTTCATCTATTATACTATGGAGGTTTTGTTGTTATTTATAGTATTTAATATATAAGTTTGATTCAAACATTCTATTCAAATTCAAATGGTTGTATACAATGTCCCAATTTGTGATGCTTCATATATTCATAACAATGACTAATTAGCTCTTTCATATTTACTGAGTATATATTTTTAAGAGATAACATTATTTTTTATTCAAGCCATAGTAAACATCTGCTATATGCATTTCCTTATATTTCATTTTGACTGATTATTAGCTGACCCTACATTCTTCAGATTTTCATGGCTGTAAATTGCATGAGAGAAGATTTCTCACATTCTCACCCAAATTCACTGGTGAGTTTGAGCTGCCAGAGAAAAATGGCTTTTGGGGTAGCAGTACAATTTTTTATGAACTATACTTTCAAGATCTGGGCTGAACCCACTGGTCATTTCTTGAGGAAGATAATATTTTATAACCTATTCAGAGACCATTGTAATTCTTCAATAATTACAAAATTATCTTTTTAAGGATTCACAAATGCCTTATTGCTTTCGTTAGGTGTCATCAGATCAATTTCACCTCATGTTGTTGGTATGTACAATCAATTTGGAACCAAGTTATAGTTCACCCTGTGGCAGGTTTTCAGAAGCAGTTAACTGATCAAGAGGAGATTGTATGCCCATCGTTCTCCCATGGCATAGTTGGTGGATTCAAACTTCATGCCTTCCAGATTCCAGAACAGCTTCTTACTACTACGTCACCAAAGCTCTCTTTTTTATCTCATAGTCAAGCTCTATCCAAGAAATAGAAACATTGTTCAGCCATATGCCATCCTTACAAATATTGCTATGTTTCAGCTACTATGTCAATATCGTGAAGAGTATTTTTCTTTGTTGTTGAGTGTGGTGCAATGGGTTGATTGTTCAAAATTTTTTCTTCTGTCATTGCTGTTGAGTTTCACTACATGGCTGGGTAAGATTATATCAATTAAACGGGAAGAGATCCATATTTGTTCCTACCCCAAGGAAGGTGATCCAATAGAATATGGAAATTATTAAACAATATACTGCTGAAGATCATTCAGAAATACCTAGAACAGTACATAGACAAGGAACTGCCAGGAGTTCAAGCAGGATTTAGGAGAAGCTGTGGCACCAGGGATATCACTGCTGATGTTATATTGGTCCTGGTAGAAAAGAATGAATACTAGAAGGATGTCTATTTATACTTATTGCCTATGCAAAGGTGTTTGACTGTGTGAATTATGGCTAACATTGAGAAGAATGGGAACCTCAGAACATCTAATTGTGCACATATGAAACCAATACTTAGACCAAGAGACTGTTGGGCAAACAAAGCAAGAGAATGCTTCATGGTTTAAAATTAGGTGTGCATGAGGGCTGCATCCTCTTTCCATACCTGTTCAACCTGTATGCTGAGCAAATTATCTGAGAAGCTGAAGTTTATGAAGAAGACGCCATTAATTAAATGAGAATTTAGCGCAGGATCAGAGAAAGACTCATCAATAACCTGCATTATGCAGATAACACAATATTGCTTGCTGAAGATGAAGAGTACTTGAAACACTCTCTGCAGAAGATAAAAGAATAGAGCTTTCAACACGGGCTACATCTCAAAGTCAAGGAAACAAAAATTCTTACTTCTTGTCTGATAGGCAACAACATGATAGATGGAGATAAGATTGAAGTTGTCAATTATTTCCTCTTACTTGAATACACAACCCTTTGTACCAGCAATCAGGAAAACAGAAGACATATTGCCCTGGAACCTGTATTTGGACCAGGATACAGTCATCAGAACAAAGCAAGGAAACACTGCATTGTTAAAAATTAGGAAAAGAGTACATCAGTAAAGCATCTTGTCTGCAACTTTTCAGTCTATATGAAAGAGATCACTTAAGAAGCTGGACTTTATGAGGAGGAGTGTTACATCAGGATTGGAGGAAGACTCATCAACAAACTATTTTATGCAGATGATGCAACCTTACTTGCCAAAACTGAGGAGGACCTAAAACATTTGCTGCAGAAGGTCAAGGACTATAAATTTTCAATACACATTGAAGCTTAACATCAAGAAGACAAAGATTCTCACCACTGGGCAAATTGGGAGCACCATGATGGATGGAGAAAGATTAAGATTCTTAACAATTTCAACTTGTTCGGCTCCACAATGCACACTTTTGGAACCACTATTCAGGAAATCAAAAGACCAAAAATTTCACTGGGTAAGTCTACTGTTAGGGATCTCTCTAAAGTCCTAAAAATCAATGGTGTCAGTCTAGAGACTAAGATGTGCTTGATCCAGGCCACAGTCTTTGCAATTACTTTCTATAAATTAGAGAGCTGGACAATGACTAAAGATGACAGAAGAACTAATGCCTTTGAATTGTGGTGCTGACGAAGAGTATTGAATATACTATGGACCATCAGGAGAATAAATAGGTCTATTGTGGAGAGGCTAAAACCAACTTTCACCTTTGAGGCAAGGATTTTGAAGTTCTGCGTTACATACTTTGAGTCTATTGTTAGTAGGGAACAGTCCTTGCAGTAGGACATCATGACTGGAAATGTGGTGGAACAGCACAGAAGAGGAAGACTTCAGATGAAATGGATTGACACGGTAACTGGGGCAATGAGATTAGGTGTGTTGAAGTCAGTGAGACTGGCTCAGGGTAGGGCAGGGTTCAGAGCTTTTGTACATAGTGTCATTATGAGTCATGGGCATCTTGATGACACACAACAACAGTAACAACAACCTTGTACTGGAAAAGCCTGCAGTCAGGGACCTTTCCAAATTATTGAGGAGCAATGAAATCAGTTTGAGGACTAAGGTGCACCTGACTCAGGCCATGGTCTTTCAATCACTTTTTATGCATTAGAAAGCTGGACAATGGATAGTGATGACAGAAAAAAAAATTGATGCCTTAGATCTGCGATGTTGGAAAAGAATGTTAAATAAACCATACACTACCAAACAAATATGTTTAGGAGAAAGTGCCCTATCTCCATACCTTTTCAACCTGTATGCAGAACAGATTATCTGAGAGGCTGGGCTCTATAAGGAGAAGTATGGCGTCAGGATTGGTGGAAGATCTATTAACAATGTGCATTATGAAGATGCCACAACACTGCTTGCTGAAACGGAGGAGGACCTGAAGCACTTGTTGCAGTGGGTCAAGGACTGCAGCCTTCGGTATGGATTGAGGCTCAATATCAGGAAGACAAAAATTCTCACCACTGGACCAATTGGCAGCATCAGGATGGATGGTGAAGAGATTGAGATTGTTAACAATTTTAGTCTGCTT